AGTGCTTATCCTACAGCACCAAATCAGAAATCCACATAAAACAAATATATATGTAAATATTCAGTAACTATACAGTGTTTGTGTTAAAGCGACCCACACTTAGAATTGCCCATTTTTGTCCATCTTATTGTGGGTAATATGTACTACAGTGTTACAGCATATATTTTGCTGATGTCATCATTCTCAAAGATGCTGACAATAAAAGGCAACAATAAAAACTAAAAAAATAAAAAGAAAGAAGGAAAGGTTTCAACATACATCGGAATCCTTTGCGACAGTGTAACTGGAATACAACTCGGTAAGTCACGGACTTCCTGTACACACACACATGTGCACACATGTGTACACTTCAATAGCGTAACTATTATCCAAAGAGACTCTCTGGGAAGATAAACAAGTATTTGTACACAGTCTAATTATTAGATTCAAACCCTATCTGGCTATTTAGCTAGTAAACATTTGAAATATGATTAGTGTAACTAAGGAAATAAATTTTTATTTTAGTATTAATTCATTTAAATTGAAACATAGGGGAATAGGCACTGTAGCTCTACTGAACTCAGTAGAAGCCTAAGTGACCAAACCATTAAAGAGGGCATGTGGGTATGAAAGTTGACATCCCCACAAAGCAGACTTTTGCAGTATGGCTATTTGGTAACATAAATCCCCAGCATCCAATCCTGCCCAGCGCCTGCCTCAGTCAAGGTTTATATGTTCAAGAAGAAACACTGGACCTGTGATCTGGGTACGTCAGTCATCACCTATATTACAACATATGTTGACCAAGGAAAGTCCTTGAAATGTGCCTTTTACTAAATTGTTGTTGTTGTTATGTGCCATCGAGTCAATTCTGATGCTGCATAGGGTTTCTGAGGAGTGGCTGGTAAACTTGAACTGCCGACCTTACAGCTTAAACGGCTTTGCAGTCTGGCGCATTAACCCACAGCACTACACTAGGACTCACCTTTAATGAGCACAAATATGGAGTCCTAGTGTGCTGCCGCAGGATAAGCACTCAAC